CAGAGACCAAAGTACATCCGAAAAAAGATTTTCTCTTTGTCTACCGGACGTGTAGACTACGAGTAGTCCCTCTTTCGCTTAGTCCGTCGTGCGTGACGCGAAAGAAAACCGCGAGGAAAAAATGGCCGCGCGGACTCGTGGGGGCGAGAAGCACGCAAGTCTCGCCCCCAGGATTTCACGCGGCAATTTTTTTCTCCCGGTTTATTTACGGTCTCGCTTGACGGACTAAGCGAAAGAGGGACTACTTGAAGTCTACCAGACGTGCTGTTGACAAACCAAACTTCGTGCGTTTGTCCGTCTTTTGTCACTCATGGATTAAAATGTTAATCGGATAATTTGCAGCTTTTTCTGTAAAAACTGCGAAATAAAAGGCATTATGGTGTATCCAGGAGCTTTACCCATGCATGCCATATATATCTGTTATGTATTTATCCGTAGAGCGGATGAAATGTATGTTACCCAGCCAATTAATTACTTATGTACTAGGCACTACTGTGTGTCCAAGAGTTTTACAAATGTACTCATTTATCATATATACCTTTTTTTGTATCAAACTCATTAATAATTCATTAAGTTTAAACAAAGGAAATCATGACCGTGACGGTGTTTGAATATCTGATCGTAATTAGCATAGATTTTAACGATTTTATTTCTCCGTTTTCTCCTTAGTTTTAGTCTCGATTGAACACTCAAGACGGTGTTTGACCACATGTCCAAACACCTCAAAGTTCGTCAAAATACTCCGCTGCGCGTCGTATTTTCAACTCTCTTCTCGGTGTTTGGAAATGTGGTCAAACAGGGTCTTTCGTGTTTCATATATTACATCACAATTTGTGCTCTGGATGAAACCATCCAGTAAGTAATAAGGTATTAGGCTTTACCTCGTATCCAAGAGTATATATCTTTTACAACGCAATTTGTTTTTTTAATGCGGAATTAGGTTCTAAGAATAGAAAGGAGTGACTGAACAAAATAAACACCAAGCTCGAAAAATCCGCCAGAATATATTTTTATTAATTAATGAGTGATAACTTACACTGACGGCCAAGAGAGTTCCAAGAGCCGCTAACCCAGACAGTGTGATGACTGTTAGATTTCTATTTGATTTATTTACATCTGGTCTGTTCCTGATTATTGGTAGTTCACCCTGAAATAGTGCGATTAGACGGAACACCCTGAGCGGTAACCAAAACATAGGAACATAGGAACATAGGAACATAGGGAACTAACAAGGTTTTACAAGTACCGAGTTATAAAGGGTACATAAAGCAAAAACACTGTATAAAAACGCAATGTTTTTTTGAAACTGTAATGAGCGGTGGAAATATCGAAGATGAAATTCTCGAGTTCGATTCTATTATTTCTAATTTCTGGAACTTTAAAACTAAAGGACGGTTTTGTTCTTATTATCAAAGTTCTGCAAAAATAAGTTTTCTTTCCGGTTTTTTTACACCGGTCAAATAAACAAGTTCTTAAAGAAGTTACTGCTCCAGAGAGTAATAACAGTTATCTCAGTTCCTTTGACGTATGGTATGTGTAGAAGGGAAGCCATATTTACCATTTTGAAAAATGTTAACATTTATGCAGTTAATAAGAACAACGTTTTACTTTAGGCTTATAAAATTGTTTATAGTTTCAATATTACCAGCTTGCATGCATTGTTGGCCAACTAATTAAGAACATTGTCACTCACTTAGCCTACAGAAACATGTAGTTATTAATAAAGTCGTTCGTTGACTGTTTTATTGATTGATCGATCAGTTCTTATTGTTATTTTCTGAGCTATAGATCGTCAGTACTTTTCGATTCTCTTTCCTTTAACGTTCTTGTCGGTAAATGCCCAATTCCCACATGGGACTGTTCAGAGGAAATTGAACAATACTTAGAATAATAAATACGACTGAAGCCTAAGCTGATAGTTATGAATCAAACATGGCGGCCAGCGAGCCGCCTTCTTTTGTTGTCTTTTGGCTTGTCTCGCAGAGATGTTCACTGTGAGTCACGTCTTCAACGATATCTACAACTTTCAGCTGGATGGATTCTCCGCGATCCGACAGTTTCTCAACAGTAGAACTAGAACGACTTTGCTCTTGATTACTTATATGACTCTCGCTACGTTCACTGTTTTGATGACGTCGACGATGATGATGAGAGTGATCACGTGATTGCACGTGTTTGCTTCTGGGAGAAGCCATCCGCTGGTCAACGGATCGCAGGCTCGAAACAGTGGACGAGCTTGAACTGCTCGTTGACCTATGAACAATCACTTTCACTTCACGGTACGCATGAGCACTTGTGGCTTCAGTGTCCTCCACAACTCCATCGTATCTTACAAATGGGACCATTTCTTTTCGTTGCGCTTGTCTCATGCGTGAAACACCACTCGCCACCTGGGCAAAGGATCCTTTCATCCTCTCCCCAGGGGACTCATTGTTCTGTACATTACTTGTCCTTTCATTAAAGAGGTGATGAGATTTACGTCCAGCTGTTGACCGACCCGGCTGGGCGCGAGGGTGATTGATGCTGCCTTCTTCACTCGACGTGTTGCGATGTCGCTCTAAATTTTTCAAAAATAGAAAACAAGAGAAAACAACGACGCTAACAGTCATACTCTGACGCAAAGAGAAAGTGACCACATTAAACACGCCTTTCCCCTGACTTCTTGTAGGTTTTTTTAGGACTTGCCGAGGGGGAACGCCTAAACTTACAGAACTTGGTGTCGAACTTGGTGTCAAATGTATTCCTAAACAGCTGGTCTAAACGTAGAAACAGGCGGTGCTCACCTGAAGCGCTTCGAAATAGTTTCTTTCTGTCCTCCGTTCTTTCCTAAAATGAAAGCAAACTAAATGAATTTTACGTCAAGAAAAAGAAAATAATACTCTATGAACAAGTCTGGATCTGGCTGTATTTTACATTTATTGACGCGCAGTATCCCGAGGGGTCGGGTGCTTTTTCGGGACGGGTTCATGACTACCCGACCAGTCCTTTAACGCATCAGCGCGCAGAACTACTCTAAGGGGCTGCACCTGTATGAGAAATGTCTACTTACGTATTGTAACTGTAACACCAGCTGACGATTGGAGCTTTGGAGATAATTTGCTTTGGAAAATCAAGGGGCAACAGATCTGTTTCAGATCGATTCGGCAAAATAAAATATGAGAGAATACTATGGTCCGTTCAAACAAATCAAGTCAATGATACCATAGATTTGGTGTCATCCGGAACCCAAGGAGTTAAAGTTTACCGAATTTAAGGCAGAATTTTGAAAAAAATCCTTCTAAGTTTCAGCCTACAAATTTTTGGTCTTTGTTTCTAGCATAATTCATACGTTTTGTGCAAGTCTTATAAGCCACACCCACTGCCACGAAGCAGACAAAATTTCAGTTTGTATTCATACTTCGAGTTATGCAATAAATTGTTTCAGGTTTATCGAAGAGCCGGCCGCTTAGTGATCTTTTTAGAGACAGTTGGGAAGTTAATAAACCAAAAGTGCAGCATTGTAGAACAGAAGAACGGGAAAAAAGGAAGCGAAATAGCAGAGCGATCTGTACTCACTCCACAGCGGCGTATCCTACAGCCAGCATGCAAAGGAATAACATCACGAGGAGAAGAAACAAATAGAACCGGTGCGAGGCCTTGAAGATTCTCTTAGGAGGGACATTAGTGACCATCACGGCCCAGCTCCTGATGTACATGATGATGACCAGCTTCAAAATGTTCAGCATTATGAGCCCAGGAGAGAAAATCAGGCCCATCCTTGAAAAAATAATACAACACCTCGTCATTTTAGAGCTAAGAGAGGCCGAGGTGAGTTGAAGTGTTATCAATATATTCGAAACATTTACCCAGTATTGCCATCATCCGCGGGAGTGACTTATCAAACTGGCACGATTCGGAAAATTTGGCTCGTTACTTATATGTTTGTGACAACGACGGGACTACAAGGCTTGTTGCTTGCGTCGGAACTCATTATCCCAGTTGGAGGAGGAAAGGGAGTGCTCGGAACTTGCCAATTCCTGTCGTTTTTCCTCCGGTTTCCGCCTGTTTTCTTCTTCAATTACCACATACTCTTATTTCTCTCAGTTCCTGCCACCTTGGAAAAGAACACCTGATCGAAGATTACCCCCTCGTTTCCCCATTCTCCCGTAAACTCCCCACCCCCGTTAGTCCAAGGACCCCAATTCCCTGACCCCGACTGCTCCCTCTGACAGTATCGTCAAAGTATTTATAAAAGATGCGTGCTTGTACATGTTGACTCACCAAATTAGTCCTTGGCTGTTAATGAGCTGTAACACATTTTCTGCCAGTTTGAACTCAGGATAGCCTAACTGAAGAAATGTGGGGATAATGACTGAAAACATTTTCTTGAACGTCATTTCTACTAAGAAGGATGACTTGAAAAAATATCCCGGCGCAATAGAAAGGGGTGAAAGGGAATAGTTTTAACAACTTACAACTTTCTCAAGATCCATGAGTCGCCCTTGGAAGCAGTTGAGGAATCTGACAGTGAGCGAGACGAACAAGTCACCAGTCAACACACTGAACACCAGGGCTACCAGGTCAATTATCGTCAACTTAAACAGCTCCTGACCAACTGTAGTCTCCCAACACAGTGAACCACCTAACATAACAGACAAGAGATGTTGTTAATGAAAGAAACTAAATCAAAAAAAGCGAATCTTGTTCGTGTTTTTAAATCGTGGCCATGATGACCTCTGTTCAATAACTTGAGTCCTAAAAATACTGTCAACTACAACACCATGAATACCTCCTTGGCGAACTTTTATTATTTTTCATTCCGTATTACTATCGATTTTTTTGTTTGGTCCCTTCACTCGTGAAAACTCACTGCAGTGAAAAATTTTTGGTGTTCAACAATTTGGTGTCTTAGCCATTAAAGTATATATACGTAATCGTATGAATACGAATGCAATTAAGGAATTACACCACGAGTGATATTTGAAAATTCTCTCAAAATTGGACGAGCCTTTAGGTGAGTGCAATTTGAAAGAATTTTTAAATATCACGAGCAGTGTAAATCCTTAATTGCTCGAGCTTTCATACGTTACTCATCTATTACACGATTGGGAAACTTTCGAACGCGTGCGCATTAATTTGCAATGCAGTGCAATACATTAACGATAAATTGGCCTGCTCTCAGCCAATCACAATGGAATAATTTTCTCAGTCATATAATAAGGAATATAGCTACCGAGAATATCTTACCAGCTGTGATATTTGACGTAACCGTGGTAACAGGAATGTCAGTTGCGTTCGTGGGATCAGAGATAGCAGAGACTTCTAGAGGAGAAACCTTTGACTGCAAAAAGAGAACGTATGACTAAGAAAATGAGTGAGAGGGCCGAGCAAATGAAAATTACGTCGACTGCAAAAATAGAACCGAGTGAACAATGCAACATTCAGTATGCTATCTAAAACTGAAAGTCCAACCTCACACTTTCCCTTAAAAAGCGCATTGACGAGGTTGGTTATGGCGTCTGCCTACCTTTATTCCCGTAGTAAGTGAAGCTAGTTTGTTGTCAGCGGTTTCCCGCTCGGTGATGAGAAAGTCCCAGGCTGAGAACACTCGCCAACCGAAAGGATACTGATCATTTTGACCCGACGACTTTACCAGACGCTGCTCGTGAGTGATACTACAGGAATAAGGTAAAAAGTTTAAATCACAAGAACGCAATTGAAGTTCCCATTCGCACTTTTAAACATGTAACTGACGACAAGTGCGAGAAGGTCACGTGGAACATTCAAAGTTAAAAGAGTTTTAAACAGAATGAGCAAACCAGATTTAAAACTTCAATGGGACCAAAGTAGAAAGGGTGTTCTTACGCCCTAAGCACAATGATGATGCTGAAAAGATAGGCACCCAGGAACACCACGAAGTAAGCCAACGGAAGAGGATATTTGACCACACCCACTTGGATGGCTTCGTTTCCATAGTAACCATAAAATAAGAAAGAGTACTCCAGGTGGCCCTGTGAGACAAAAATGGAAGAACATTATTTTTTTCTTAGTCACAATATCTGTTTGAATTTGATTTAAGAAGTGTATTCTAAGGAGTCCTAAAGTTTATAGCCTTTCAGCGCAGAGAAGCCAAAAAAGTGAAATCAGGTCGATTGCCTCGACTTCAGCGCAAAGCACTTACCTTGGCATCAAGAACTGATGTGAGACGCTGAGCTGTGTGTTTCTCGCTCTCGGGAATATTAAAAGCAGTCGAAGGGCTCATGAGCTAAAACAATCAAACAACATTTTAATGTTCATTCAACAAAATTACCAAAGGATCTTAGAAAGTACTACTATGTCCATTATGTTTAGTCGAGAATCCATTGATGATGTCAAAAGACATACAGCAAACGAAGGAAGAAAACCTCACACCACCTTTTTTTTTTAAATACAGGGATGGGTTTCAACCAATTATTTGTAAAATAGAAGGAGAAAAAATACTTTATAACAGAATAAGTAAGGTATTGCCCTGCTTTAGAGATGGAAGAACAACAGAAACATCATATAATTGGTTACGGAACGACTCTTTCATAGCTCAAAGGAGAGGAAGCTCACTAACTGGAAGTCTATTATTTTAATTATTATTAACTCTCGATAGTAACCCTTTCTTCAATAGACGGTTTAGCCAAGCGAGAGTCGCACCGTGGCGGTAGTTTCTCATCGGAATTTCTCAATCTCTTCAGCAGATGTTGGAAAAATTCACTCAGCAGCTTACCTGTGGCGCGATGACAAAAATGGTGATAAAAGTTAAGAGAATAAAGTTAATCCACACCAGAGAACGTAAAAATACGAAAAAGGAACCAATTCCAGCACCAAAATGCCCTGAGGAAAAAATACAGTACTGTATATTGATGCAAGACACAAGTTAGAGAAGCTAAGCCTGTGTGAAGGATGGGCTAAGTAAGAAATACACTCCGTACTAAAAAACAGTGCAAAACTGAATCAAGCATCTCCTAAGTTATCTCGTCAATATAACGCACTAAATTTATACGTCATATTGCTTTAATTAGCGATTTCTCTTATATGGCGAATACGGCGCCAGGGATAAGTCAAATTATCGGAGATACGCTTATTTTAACATTCCAGCTAAAGCGGAGAGCGCTAGTACTACTCTGGAGTGACTTTGGAGCCCTTGTCATTTTTATGGTGCAGGTTGCCTTATAGGACTCCCGGTTGAATGACGTTTAGTGACAGTTTGGTAGAACTGGCAAATATTTTGAAGTTGACTCAGACCTACGTTTTGTTTTATTTTATCAGTTTATGCCGTTATGGTTTGATCCCTGAACTCACCTTGGATGTTTTTTATCCTTTTTTCCCATGGAATGAAGAACACAATGAAATTTTTGAACTGTCTTTTCACTTGCCTAAAAAACTGTTAAACAAAGTGATAAAGAAAATACTATTCGATGAGAGAAAATCGCCACAAAAATCAACCTTTTTCATTCGTTGTGATGTTGGTACAAAGGTCAGAAGATACAAAACAATAAATGGTGAAAAGATCTTAAGAAGATCGTTGGGTAGGCACACGGAAGAATAGCAATTTCTATTTCGATGTTGCTATGAACAGTGTCAGTCACACATAATCAGAAGGATTCATTTCACTCCGGAGTGCGGGCCCTCAGGAAGATTTATAACACTTTACGGTTAGATATTAATGACTGTGAAGTATGATAAAGGAAACGTTCACCAGAAGTCCCGAAACATTACGAATAACACTGAAGATCTTAACAACAACAACAACAACAACAAAACAGCATATGTTCTTATCTTGTTTGACCAAAGGTGACCAATAAACTTGAACTTGCACCATGCCTAATGAACTGGACGAGGTGGGGAAGTCTTCAACAAGTAAAATGCAAGTGTCTGGCCGTGGAATGGTAACAATACCAAAACAATCCGAAGTCACCAATTAAATAAACTAAACTCAGTGAACATTACGTACCCTTATCCTAGACTCTTTGAAATGCTGTAACTTATTCAGATCACCGGAATGTTGCTCCACGTAATTTTTGGCATTTCTGTAGAGAAGTAAAAAGAATAGGCCATCTGTATTACATGGCCGCAACTACTTGGTGTTTCCATCACGAAAACATAAAAGCGAGGATTCCCGTATCACAACATATCACCTACTTAATACTTATTTTAATCAACGACACTAGGATTTTGGTTTTTCGTTTCTCTATTATGATAATAGAGAAAGGAAAAACCAAAATCCTAGGGTCGCTGATTAAAATAAGTACTGGGGACTTTGATGTAACACTCAAACGCCTTTACAGTAATCCTTTAATTTTTTTCTTGTTAGTAGAAAATATACTTCGTTACATTTTCTGTTTAAATTGGAAACTGTTATTTTAGTTTTGGTTTCCGGCATCTTCAAGCTCGTTTTGCATAGTCGCTGTTTCTTGAAGTAAATTTAGCACAGAAGCTCGTCTGCGACGGAACAAACCAATTCATTTGTCCATCTCAAATGTTCTGCACTCACCGCATGGTGCTTGCAAATGAGCTTGCAAATATTTAATAACCGATCCTTACAACTGTGCGTGGTTCTGAAAATCGTTCTTTGCTACGTGTTTACCTTAATATTTGTAACTTTCTCTGCATAGTCCAAGGCTTTTCTCGCAGGCCTCCGATGATTTCCAGCTGCATCTGAATGTTCTCAAACACATCAGTGAACATATCTTCTGTTGACGTTTTTTGCTGGGAATCACTGCAAGATAGTGAATTGGGAGGGTATCTAATGATGTTCTTTCAATATCAGTTTTTTTCATGAATGTGCCATTCTTACCTTGCTGAGGACACAGCTGGCTCCTGGTTCTTGTTCTCATCCTTATCTTTGCTCAGTTTTTCGTTTACCTCAGCCAATTTTGAAGTACGTTTCCTAAACCTCAGAAGTCTGGATCTCGATTTCTTTTCGTTGAGATCATCCGGGATATCCCTGTCTTGGGTGCCACCATTTTTGTCCCTCTCCGAGCTGATGCTTACCTCAAAACCTGTTTGGGACAGATGTGTTGCTGAGATGTGAGATGTAAGATGTACGCTTTGACACAGCTATGGTTGACAATGTAAACTGATGATCGTAAGCAATCCCTCAAAGGATTTACTCGGGTTTTTATTTGCCTTGCTTAGCTCTATAACTGCTTTAAACCTCGTCCTATTATTCTGCTTTTCAAAACAATCGGAGTCAAAAACGCATACCACCACCACCCCCAGTTCAAGGGTAGAAGAAAGCGAGGGCACCCAACCAAAACTAGAGAAGGTTCGATGCACAAAGAGTCAAGAGCACCAGGAAAGGATTAGAATATGATCATCCAGCTGGTACAGAACAAGAAACTTAAAAGTGGCTTGAGTTTGGGGATAGCAAGTACCACCACCACCATCATTACCGTCGTCTTCATCTTCGTCTTCGTCGTCCTCCTCGCCCTCGCCCTC